CAGTATTACCTTATTGTGTTCTGACCACATGTGCTTGGCTGTGTACTATGTAGCGTGTACTCAATAAAGTAAGTAAACAAATAAATAAACAGTGAACGAGTGAATAAACAAGTAAATAAGTGAGTGAGTAAATGAATAAATACATAAATTGAATAATTAAATAAACGAGTAAGTAAATACATAAGTAAATAAATAAGAGAATAAAAAAGTAAATAAAAAAGTAAGTAAATGGGTAAATATGCGAGTAAGTAAATAAATAAATAAGTAATAAATAAACGAGAGAATAAATAAATAAGTAAATAAAATAAATGAGTAAATAAATAAATAATAAACAAATGAGTAAATAAATAAAGAAATTAAGTAAATAAATAAATTATTAAGTAACTACATCAATAAATGAGTAAATAAATAGATAAGTACATAAAAATAAGTTAATAAAATAAAATAAAACTGTGTGAATATAAACAAGTAAAAAAAAAAGAATAATTAAGTAAATAAAAAGAAAGTAAAGGTAAATAAGTGATTGAGTAAATAAATAAATCAATAACAAATAAATAAATTATTTAGTTAATTAAATAATTAATAAATCAATAATAAGTATTAAATAAATAATAATAATAAAAAATAAATAAGTAAATAAATAAATCCATAAGTAATAAAATAAATAAATAAATAAACACGTAAATAAATAAATAAATAAATAAATAAATCCATAAGTAATAAAATAAATAAATAAATAAACACGTAAATAAATAAATAAATAAATCCATAATAAGTAATAAATAAATAAGTATAAATAATAAATAAATGAATATATAAATAAATAAATAAGTAAATAAATGAATCTATAAGTAATAAATAAATAAATAAATGTAATTAATTAATAAGTATAAATAAATAAATAAATAAATATATATATAAATAAATAAATAAGTAAATAAATCAAAAATAAGTAATAAATAAACCAATCAATAATAGGTAATAAATATATAAATAAATAAGTAAATAAATAAGTAAATAAGTATAAGTAAATAGATGAATATGTAAATAAATAAATCAAAGGAAGGAGAGATGGAGATGGAGAGGGATTTAACACCCAGAGGAAACCCACGCCAACACGAGGAGAACATGCAAACTTCACACAGAAATGCCAACTGGCCCAGCCGGGACTCGAACCAGCCACCTTATTGCTATGAGGCCACAGTGCTAACCACTTTTTCTTCGTTATCTTCAAATATTATTCCCTCTTGAGTCTTGAGCATCTGTCTGCTCTCCCGTCTCACGCCTCCAGAATTCACCTCACCACATTCACAAAGAACAAACAGCACAGTGGAGAATCCCAACAGTCCAGCAGACTCCACTTCTCTGACTGTTAATTCCCACACTGAACACACACAGCAGGTCAGCAGCTCTCAGACTGCTAAAGCTGAGCGTGGAGCTGATCTGAGCGCAGTCACAAACACCAGCAGTAATCTGAAGTCTGCAAACACACGAGAGGAGCTTCACCTCTAAGCTGATCAGGACGAGTGAGAAACACTGCAGAACAATCCTCTACACACACACACACACACACACTCCGTCTACAGCAAACACACACACACATACACATACAGACAGACACATATAAACAAACACAGACATGCATGCACACACACACACACACACACACACACACACACAGCCTGAAGCATAAACACAGTGAAGGCGCTAGCGGCTAATCATCTTTCAGTAGCATTAGCGAGGAGAATGAGCGTCTGCAGATGGTGTATCACACTGACGCTCTTCATAATCCCTCATTACGCCTCTTGAAATCAATGTAACGTCCTTGTAGAAACTGCTGGCGTACAATCACCTCAAACACAGCCCACATCAGCTGAAGCTGAAAACATGTGCTGTTCATCAGCCGTTACTTCAGGAGGGAGAAGAAGTACACACACACACACACACACACACACACACACACACACACACAGCAGAAACCTCCTCAATGCTGGATGTGTTTACTGCTATTGAATGAAATATTAATGAATGTGTGTATGTGTTTCTGTGAGTCAGAGCGGTCTAATTACCTTTTAATCTTTTCCTGTTTGAATGAATAAATGAATGAATGGATGGATGGATGGATGGATGGATGGATGGATGGATGGATGGATGGAATGCTATTGGATGAAATGATGATGTGCCTGTGTGTGTTTCTGTGTTCTGCTGAGTCAGGCCCTATTGCTGTTTTATCTTTACCTGTTTAAATAAACAAACAATAAAAAATAATAATAAGTAAATAAATGAGGCGTCACGGTGACTCAGTGGTTAGCACGTTCGCCTCAGTTGGTGTTTCTGTGTGGAGTTTGCATGTTCTCCCTGTGTTGGTGGGTGCTCCGGTTT